GCCTTCCTTCAAGATACTAACAAACTCAACGAATTCAAGGTAGCTCTCAACAACAGGTTCCAAACCTTACAGGATCTATTGAAGGAAGAAGAAACTACTATGAACGACAACTGGAAAGGTATCATAGAAGCATTAATTTCAACGTGTCAAGAGGTTCTGGGCCTAAAGAAACACCATCGTAAGGAATGGATTTCTATAGAAACACTGGACAAGATCAAAGAAAGGAAGAATATGAAGACAGCAATTAATAACAGCCGAACATGAGCAGAGAAAGTCCAAGCACAAGCTGAGTACACAGAAGCAAACAAGCAAGTGAAGAAGAGCATTAGAGCCGACAAGCAGAAATACGTGGAAGAACTAGCAACGACGGCGGGGAAAGGTGCAAGAGAAGGAAATATGAAATGGCTTTACGATACAACGAAGAAACTAGCAGGGAAATATGGTAAACCAGAGAGACCGGTCAAAGACAAAGAAGGCAAGCCAACCACTGAAATTCGAGAACAGCGGAACCGATAGGTATAGTACTTTGAAGAACTCTTGAATAGGCCGGCTCCAGTGAATCCAGTGGACATCAAAGCAGCACACGCAGACCTTCCTGTAGATCTCAATCCACCAACGATGGAAGAAATCAGAATGGCCATCAGACAAATCAAGAACGGGAAAGCAGCAGGACCTGACAACATACCAACTGAAGCACTGAAGTCAGACATCGAAGTAACTACAAACAGGCTTTACCTTCTATTCAAAAAGATTTGGGAGGAGGAACAAGTGTCGATGGACTGGAAAGAAAGACGTCTCATCAAGATTTCAAAGAAAGGAAATCTGAGCAAATGGCAAAACTACGGAGGCGTCACACTACTGTCAGTATCCGTAAAAGTATTCAACCGAGTGTTGCCAAACCGGATGAAAGAATCGGTGGACGCCTAACTTCGAGATCAACAGACTGGATTATGAAGACCTTGACACCTGAGGGAAAACATGGCATACAATGGAGAGCTCAACATCAATTAGACGATTTGGACTTCGCTGATGACCTGGCCCTCCTATCGCATACACACGAACGAATGCAGATAAATACACCCAGTTTAGCAGCAGTCTCAGCATCACAAGGGGAAAACCCAGGTCCTAAAATACAATATGGAGCACACCAATTCAATCACTCTTGGTGGCGAAACTCTGGAAGATGTAGAGTCCTTCACATACCTGGGAAGCATCATCGATGAACAAGGAGGTTTAGATGCAGACGTAAAGGCAAGGATTGGAAAAGCAAGGGCTGCATTCCTTCAGTTAATGAACATATGGAACTCAAAAAAACTTTCAACCAATATCAAAGTGATAATCTTCAATTCCAACGTCAAGGCAGTTCTACTGTATGTAGCTGAAACTTGGAGAACTACAACAACCACAATCAAGAAAGTACAAGTGTTTATAAATAGCTGTCTACGCAAGATACTCAACATCCATTGGCCGGATACCATCAGCAATAGCCTTCTGTGGGAGAGAACAAACCAACTTCCAGCTGAAGAAGAAATTAAGAAACGACGATGGAAATGGATAGGACATACATTACGCAAATCGTCAAACTGCATCACGAGGCAAGCCCTAACTTGGAACCCTGAAGGGAAGCGGAAAAGAGGAAGGCCAAAGATCACATTACGTCAGATAATAGAAGCAGATATGAAAAGGATGAATAACAACTGGAAGGAGCTGGAAAGGATTGCCCAGGACAGGGTTGAACGGAGAATGCTGGTGAGCGGCCTATGCTCCTTCACGAGGAGTAACAGGCGTAAGTAAGTAATGATATGTTTCTGATCTTTCCAGTGGAAACAACTAATACAAAGTTCACTGCAAACGTAAATACATGCAACCAACTTCAAGCACTGTAGGTTGCTTGGATCAATTCTATCAATCACTTTTCAAAATAGCTTACGCTTTCCAAGGGATATTCTTCGCTAGATTTAAGATTTTTTCAGGATTTGAAAATCCCTCATGCTTCCAGTGTGTGTGACAACTATCCTTTACTTCACTCCATACCAAACGTTACTTTCATTAGTCTTCCAATACAAGCAAATGTTTGTCTTTCGTTGGACTGAAGTTACTTTACGAATTCTGATTTCCGTTGGATCTACGTTGTTGTATGGTAATTGACTTTCTGTAATCACTTTTACTTTACTTGACCCTAAGTTTTTGTGGTGGCTTTATTAGTTCATCGTGGCGGGTTGTCCGCGCTTGAATGGTCGTATCATTCAGTCACTAACTCACAGAGTTGCGATCCTTGTTTATCAAAGCTATGTGTTTTTTTTGACAGATAACCACATTTTTGTTCTTTGTTAATGCATAATGCACCTGTTCCAAAACACTTTCCGGAACAACCTGTTGCTCGTTCAGTCCAATGAGGTTGTTTGTTTAGTCGTCTCTTATGAGTTATATTTACATCATGGTGAATAGTATCGCCCGAACAGCTTTGTTACGTGTTGAAACGGACTTGCGCTTTGATGACATTACTCGGTTCTCGGTGGTCCGTATTTCATTTGATGATTCACCGCATTCCGTTGATGTCACAACGCACTGATTTCGTGGTCCCCTCCAAGTGTCTACTAATGCTGATTGGATAAAAGTTAGTCTATCAGCGAGCTCCAACGTACCTCTGTACGGAACATGCTTCAATACAATCTATATCCCGCTAACAGTATTTATTCAACAATTATAATCTGTTTCTAAAGTGTTAACCAGCAAAATTAGGACAAAAATGAGAGGTAATTAAGTTAATTACGAAGATAACAATAAATATACATACTGGACATCGGAAAGAACGCATCAAAATGAATCATTAGCAAGGATCAGTCACGTTTTTACAAGTGATGTGATTTAATGGTTGATAGTTAAATAAAAGGGGTCAAAGTAATGGCTTTTCTGAGAATAAATAAGTCTTAATTGGTAAGTGTTTAGATGAAATACCATCTTTCGTTGTTTGTCTGAACCTCCTAATTGGTGTTTAAGACTACAATTGACCGGTCTCTTATTAGCTTATGCACGTCCTGTGCGGATCGCGTCAATATTGCCTTATGTAACAGGCGTTATAAGCTGAGATGACGGTGGTTAGCAGAGAATTCCAGGACGCTCGTTTCGACCTTCATGAGACTTTTCAGCTGGATACACCTGATCAATTGTAGTCTTTAACATCAATGGGAAGTTTCAGACATACAACACAAAGTGGCTATCGGGACTCAGTAACTAAGTGGGTAATGTGATGTTGTTTGAAACGAACAGTGCTGGGAGCAAGTCTCGAAGTCAACATCTACTCTTGGATACAGGTACATCCAGCTGACGAGTTCCAAATAGGACGAAACGCACGTCCTGGACTCCAATACTAGCCACCAACCATCTTGGTTGATAATAAAATATTATCGCTTGATTCACCGTTGCCGGTCGAGAATAACAAGAACCCTTAATCAGCCTAATTTTTAGTGTGGGAAAAGTTGTAGATATGTAATCGTGCTCCACATGATCGGGTTGTTCTCGAAGGAAAGCATCCATGTCATCTCTATTATCCCATTATCCATAAATTTCCCTTATCTCTAGTTCAACGAGTGACCGTCTAGTCAGCATTTAACGTAGCGACGAGTGAATAAAAACTTGTTTCATTATATCTGTTGGTCTTCGAGCTTTCCTTATCTCAGTTTCTAATTCGAAGACCAAGTTAGGAGGTAGGTTGATTCTCCACCCCATACTATTTAATAATCGCTCAAACTTCGCACAACAATATAATACTTGTTACAACTGACTGCACAGAAACACAAGTGAGAAATTACGAAACGTACATCACATTATCACTAGCTATATAAATTAAAGTTATTATGGAATAGTTAGTTAATGATAACTGGTCATCAAATCAAACAACAAAATCTTCCCTTAAACGGTTGTACAGAGAATCTAGAATTCAAGGTAATTTTTCGGAGAATTCACTCCGGCATCGTTTTCTTATCCCTTCATAGTGATAAAACAGGCATCACAGAAGAATAACCCTTTAAACACAAACCCAAATTTAGCGTCTAAGCGCCAGATAATGGCAGTTACATCTGAAGAAACAAACGCTGATTATTTCGAAACGCCGGCTTCGTTTATGCTAGTCACCACATACAATTCGAAGGTTACAAAAATAGCTGTTTAGTTCGTGAAAATATCTATATCACAGAAAGTTTATGAGAGGAATATAGTGCTAGTGAAATGTCACTCAGCCCTAGTCAAATTATTCAGCAGTAGGGCCACTGAATACCGATCATTTCACCCATACCCGTCAGGGTCAACGAAGGCCAGTGTGCATCAGTTGATCGCATGCTATGTACTTACTCATGCATTAGTAGCTACACTTTGTTCCTTGTGCCCAATCTTACCAATATATTTCTGAAATAAGGTCGTCTGTGTTGTACGGTCGTCGTAGTACCTGTATACAACGAAAGGCTAATCCACGTCAGATACTAATCGCGAAGTGTGACTCGACGCTAACTGATTGGTCCCATTATTCCCATTTAACCCGAGGAGGTCTCTAATCATCGACACAGATTATCTGTATTGATGGCCTACAAAAATTTCAAGGATTATTTGCTCAAAAAATGTTGCGAATTTCCACTGAGATGTTTTCTAAACAGCGGTTCCGAACTGCTAACTAATTTAGTCAATAGACTGCATTATGTCATTCGACTTATTGAAAATCTAATTTCAATTTTTTTATGATACTTATGTATCTTGTATATTACTGCAAGTTTACAACATGTGGAGTCGCCATCCATAATTATATCACAACCCCCCTGTTTGTATGGCTATTCTGCTTTGTAGTGCAGGAAAAAACATTCGCGTTTCTTGAGAAACATGTTGACAAACCTAAAGAACGAAAACATGTCATTAAAACTGCTAGACATACAGTATGTGGCGTAAAACGTCCATTTTTATTTCAGTCTACAGGTTCATTTTAATAGTTGTCGCTTACTAGCGGGAACTTTGAAAGTGGTAACATTTTTTTCACGGCACGGACTAGCGGGTAAGCCAGGGATTTTCGCGCACACGTTACATATTGTCGTGGATTTTTTGTGTCGTTATTTATCAGCTATTAACAGGCTTTTTTGCATGACACATCAATTTCTGTATTGCTAGTGCTTGTAACATAGTTTTTATTCCAATTTATTGGCAGTTTGACGTATTTCTTGCTCACCACGTAAGTAAATCTGAAGTTAGCTTAATATAGTTATTTGTAACAATACAAACTCAAGCAAGTAAAGTTCACCATGTTTCTAGTCAAAAAATACATCACAGATTGAGTTTTCATGAAAATGAACCGTAAAATCTTTTACATATGGTTCACCTCCTTGATTGCGGTGACGGTGAACATGGATGTCGGTAGTTGTTTATAAAATGTAAGTAGAAGCAATCAAGCGTTAACCTAATTGTGAATATTATATAACTTGCTTGTATTTAGCCATAAAAAGTTATATCCATTAGAGGTACCATTGTTTTGTACTGAAGTGACATAATTATGTAACGTATAAAAAATATAGGAGTAACAATTGACGTTTATAGTATGGGTCATCTGAGAAAACATAGATTTATCCCATCATACTTTATGGAAATCCTTTAGCGCATTATCTAATTCAATCCAGCTTCCGAATCTCTTATTCAGCATAATACGTTGGAACGCGTCGCTTACGTTCACTGAAATTTCACTTGAGCATGAAGCACTAGATACAACATACAATAGCTATTAAAAAAAGGTTATTCCTTGAAAAAAATTAACTGAAGGAAGAACAACAAATATTTAGGACTTCCCCTTCAGTTGACATTTCGTCTTAACTCACAAAAACTATGCGCATCTATAACCTTTTACGTTATTTTATCTTTCTTACGTTGTTTTCTGGACCTTATCAACAAATTATATATAGCTGTTGACTTTCACTACAGCACTTAGGACCACAGATCAAGTTTCGAAGGAACAACAGAGCTAAAGTGTGCACTACAAAACAGAAAATACTCAGTTAATGCTCTTAGCAGTTATTTAGTGTTTATTATGCATCAAAAGATGACTTATATATGGAAACATTTATTACTCATAGGACCCAACACACACACGGCAATTGAAATACGGAATGCCCGCTTCCAGTCAACGCGTTCAAGGTCGTTGAAACGAAACGGCTGACAGATTTGAAAGGGATTGCCGTTTATACCTTGCCTTTTTCACGTGGTTTAGGAATTCTTCGACTTGCTCTTTTGTAGGGTGTATTATACTGTGATTATCATCCTGTCCTGTACATCGGGAACATCTCACCTCGGAATATAAGAAAAAACTTATTTTTATTCGACGGACAATTACCAGTTCGTATTGTACCTATTGCGGACTTAAGTCGTAAATAAGTCTGCAATTTATTATATACTCACAGTCTCTAATCCTAGTATTAACCAGGTTAATACTTAATAACAACTAATACTCAGATATTATATTTAATTTAACGAGCACTGTGCTCACTTATATTCATATCATGTCCAATAACTCCAGTAAAAGAGGAATTTCACCAACTTCTAAGCCAAATAAAAGGTCCAAATATGTAACCCCTACAACTGACGACTCAGTGCTTGACAATGTCGAACCTTTAACTACTGAAAAATATGTGCATTGTACACAAATGTCCCTATCGTCACCTGATTCTCCATGTCGCAGCCCCTCTATCTTTACGTGCAGTATGTCAACGGTAAGACTGGTTGACATACAAGACACTATACCTACGTGCATTGAAAAGTCAGCACAGTCTACTAAACAGTATGTGCTACCAAGGCCTAAGTCTAGAATTTCAAAAACTAAAGAGTCCAATGGTCCACCTCATATGCACCAAAATACTGATAGATATAGTAATGACATCCGACAGCTACAAAACTCTCTATCCGAAATTAACGGCAAACTTGAGCAATTAGCACCCCTCACTCATATATGGGGCCTTAATACAGACAGAAATCTTGAGCAACTCACTAAAGCTGAGTGTATTTTGGAGTTTGTGGCTGAAGAAGTGACGAAGAGAGTAATGTCCTCCTTCAATGCAGTTGTGTATAACCTCCCCGACCGCACACACCCATCTAAGTTAAGAGATATTTGCCTTAGAGCATGCGGTATGCCGAACGTTAACTGCAAAGTCATCCGCCTTAGAAAAAAGTCAGACAGATCAACTTCCCCCCTCTTGTTTATGTTTGGCTGTTGTAACGATGCTAAGCAGTTTATTGATTTGAGCAAAAACATTAGCTCACTAATTCCATACAAAAATATAAAAGTCACTCCAGACCTCACGCCCTGTCAACGTCGTGTAAGAAGACGCGAAGCGATAGAATTGAATGGGAGTGTTACAGTTAATAATCAGCCACAGACAGTTTGCAACACAGCAAATAGTTTAAAACACACGAACATTAAGCATGACACCACTCCACATACGGCTGACCACTCTGTTGATCTAGATGAGTCTACAGATCAGAAACCTTTGGATAAGATTCGGACCCCAACTGACACCAAAAACCATAACGACATGACTGATCCCAGCTGTTCATTCAGTAATGTACTAAAATGTGAGTCGTGTAACAACACATGTGCAACTAAACCTATACACTTGAAAATTTGTCCTCCTAAAGACATTCCACAAGTAGACTTGAATGAACGTAAGTTCATCTCACAAAGACAACGAAAGAATCCTTCTCTGAAAATAAAGGGTGGGAAGACAAAACTCATGATACCGAATAGGGAAACACGTAAGATTGAACCCAACTGCTCTATAGGTATCCCAAGAACAGTGAACAGGTTCTCCCCGATGCTATCGTATAACTTGCCTTCAACACCTCCAAGTTGCAAAAAGGGTGGTGGGCTTCAACGTAGCAAGCCCTCTTACACGCAGACTAACGAAAACTACCAGAGAACTGGCCACCCAAATCACCCCCTGAAGCCTAAAACCATAAATAAGAACGGTAATAATAGGTTTCTCACTCCACACCCTACCTACATTCCCCAGGATCGCAACTGTAATTACTCTCAAAAAGAAAACTTCTCATACCCTTTAGTACCGACCCATCACATAACAACGGCTCCCATGTATAACAACAGTCGCAACTCCTCCCAGTTACGCGTAGCAGACCCCTCTCGCGCTAACGTAAATAGCCATAACAGGGGCTACGAGTCTAACCATCAAGACTATTTTGTAAATAACCATACACTTCACAGTAGGCCTGTACAAAATTTTTTTGGAATAAGACCCCTAGTGACACCTCTGTTGAAGCATATAGCCCAGGTTATTTCAAACCACATGCAAACCATAAATTTGTTTCCTCCGTACAGTTTCCATCACAGAGTACTTCCACCCTTTCCTCCTGGGTAAACTCCCCAATCAACTTCACCAGCTCATTTGATACATCTCCTAATAAGTTTAACTATCAAAATACCGAGCTAATGAAGAACATCCAATCCCTCACATCAAACTCATCTTACACTCGCGAGGGTTACGACGACTTTATCCGAAATACCCTCACCCATTTTAACTTAGTAGCCCACTTGCTTAATATATGTCTTATCAACGCTCGATCGATCTGCAACAAAAAGACGGATTTAGCCCTGTTTGTATCCATATATCAACCATCAGTTATTATGATATCTGAAGCATGGACTAACAGTAATATTTCCGACCGAAGCATATCTCTAGATAACTATTCCCTATATAGAAGCGATAGATTGAATGGACGAGGCGGAGGATGCCTTATTTACGCTCACTCTAGCCTGAACTCACTGCTATGTGATATGCCTGAACTAAACAAACTGAAGGATTCGGTGTGGATTGTATTAAAGCCGTCGAATTCCGTTACCTTACTGCTCGGCTGTGTTTATCGTCAACCTAACGCATCAATAGATGAAATAGCAGTATTATCGGAGGTATTCACGCTAGCATCATCCCTCTCATTCACAGGCGAGCTCATTTGTGGTGACTTCAATATGCCCGAAATTTCTTGGCTGCCAGTCAAAGCGCCGAGACGTTATGAATCATTTATTGAATGTCTAGAGCTTGGACAATGGACTCAGTATGTCGATAGCCCTACCAGACATCAAAACATCTTAGACTTAGTCTTTACCAGTGGCCTCATCCCCAATACTTTGTATATTGGAAAAAAGTTCCCAGGTAGTGATCATAACATTGTCATATGCAGCCTTAATGTAAAAACCACAACCGATAGAAGTAAAACCGTAACACTTCGTAGAAACTATCGCAAGGTTGATTGGAATAACTTCCACAATTACCTAAGAAGCACTGATTGGAGAACTTTGTTTACCTCAAACAATACCGACACATTAACCAATATATTTTATCACAACATCAAAAGTATCATCAACAATATCGCACCTTTAGAATACTGTAAACCTACGTTCTCCAAAGATCTCTATATACCGGTCAGTACAAGAAGACGTCTTCAAAGACATTGTACTCGATTCCACAACTTAAATGACTTTTCCTCTTTAGTAACGATGACAGAAATACTTGTCCGAACAGAGGCAATAAGTAAACAAAAAGCAGTAGCACAGGAAAAACGTGCAGTTGAACTTAATAATAACTCCTCTGCACTCACCATACTACTCCAAAATAAACTTAAACGCTCTAAATCGAGAGGGAGTATATTCATTAAAGGCAAACAAGTATACGAAGATCCCAAACTTATCACAGAATTATTCAGTGAACATTTTTGTTTCTCACTAACTAACGAAAAACCATTTAATGATTCAGAACCAATCCCAGTAACTCCCTGTGAAATTACTAATGTAGAATTCAGTGTACAAAATATCTCCAAAGCAATCAGTACATTGAAACACTCCTACACTGATGGACCAGATGGTATTCCATCTAGCATGCTAAAACGCGGAGGTGATGATATGTGTGTTTTGCTTCTCAAACTATTCGCGATATCACTCTCTTCAGCGTGTTACCCTACTGCCTGGAAAACTACACATATCATTCCCAAAATTAAAACAGGACCTGAAGCAAACGTTGAAAATTACCGGCCTATAAACATAACTTCAGTGGTATCCAGAGTGATGGAAAAAGTAGTTAAGGCGGCTGTAGTCCAACATCTATTAACTAACAATCTCTTGTCGACCTCCCAGCATGGATTTCTTAGGTCCAGATCATGCGATACATGCCTAGTAGACTACCTGAATGATATAACTCTGAAACGAGACAGCGAACTCCTTGTATCAGTCCTATTCCTAGACTTTAAGAAAGCCTTTGATAAGGTCCCACACAAAAGGATACTCGTCAAACTAAAGTCCTTCGGAATACACAACCCACTGTACTCATGGTTTGCTTCGTTCTTAACAGAACGTAAACAGATGGTAAAGTACAATGACTGTCTCTCGTCCCCTAGACCAATCACCAGTGGAGTCATCCAGGGAAGCGTATTAGGGCCACTTTTCTTTCTTATGTATATAAACGATATATGTAACACCATAGAATTTGGGAAACCGTACTTATATGCTGATGATCTCAAAATAGTATACAGCTATAAACCTGAGACACTAAGCGAAAGTGTATCCCAGATCCAACAGGACCTCAATAACTTAACTATATGGAGTGAAAAATGGCAATTACCATTTAACCTCAACAAGTGCGGGATCATGCACTTTGGAAAGCATCCCTATAAACCGCAACTTCACTTAAGTGAATGTATAGTCCAAACACTCGAATCAGTACACGATTTAGGAATTAATTACACAGGAAGCCTAAACTTTGAAGAACATGCCTCCTCTATTATTTCTAAATCTAGACGGCTAATTGGTTTTATAATGAAAAACTTTTTCACAACAGAGGGTAAACTTACTCTCTACAAAATATGTGTACGACCCACCCTTGAATACTGCTCTTTTGTCTTCTCTAATATGAATATCGCAGACAAGATAAGAGTAGAAGATGTTCAAAGACGTTTCACACGTCAACTACTAGGATGTAACTCGAATCTCGATTACACAGACAGATGTAAGCATCTATCTTTAGAACCTTTATGGCACCGTAGGCTAAAACACAATTTAATATTTCTCTACAAAGCGATATATGGGCTCTCATTTCTAACCTCCTGCCCGACTATCACCCACGACCCAGCCTATAGACTTAGAAACAACGCATATACACTACACACCGTAAAACACCAAAAACAAATGCGTTGTAAGTTCTTTACAGTACGGTACAGTTTATTGTGGAACAGGCTGCCAATGCCTATCCGTAACTGTGATACGTTTACCAGATTCAAAAAGCTAATAACCCTATTTCTAGACTCCAAAGAGCTTCAACATTATCTTGAACTCCCGCCCACCGATGAGGCACTTTATTACGGACCACCTAGTATCTAGAAAGAACAAAATTATAACAAGTTCGACTGTTACTAATCTGAATATAACCAAATCACAGGATATATGGATTATCCTTTCCTATTATTCATTGTTTATTAATCATGATTTCATGCTCCTAACCCTAGCTTTCAGTCCCCAAATCTCTACAGGTTAAATGTACATTATTCTTCCTAAAAGTCATGCTTTTTTTTCTACTGCAAGTAGACAGATAGCTCAATCTTATGGATGCTGATCTACTAAGGCCGATCATTCAAAGCTCAAAATTTGGCCACAAAGTCTTGTGAGTTTCTCAATGTTTTATTTTTCTCACCCTAAAATCTTTTTCTTTTTTTTCTACAATTTTATACCCTCTCATATCTTTTGATTTACTATTAATCCTTACTTCTTTAAACCATTAGTTATTTTCATAGCAGTGTGATATACTATATGGACATCTAACCCATAAAACAGAATTTTTAAATATCTGATTTGCTTGTAACATGGACCTAGTAGAGACAGTGTATTCCAACTATGTGCTTTGATTAAAGCATTAATCATACTTACCACAAACGTAAGAGAGTCTAACATCACAAAAGGAGGGAGGGTGGCGTTACTGACCAGCAAACATGAAGGTGGGGAGATAACTTCAATCCACCCATGTCTGTAGGGCAGAACATTTTGTTTAATTACGGCTCCTTATGGTTTAGTGGGATGTCACGAACTTATGGTATTGAAGCTGATTTATCACGCAAAATACCTCTTTAAATCGTGTTACGAACGTTGAATTGGTTTCACTTCCTACTCAGAAATCTTATTACAAGCAAACTAGACAATTCGCTAATATACGAAGCCTACTCAAGACCCTATAATACCTGGAAAAAAATAAAAAAAAAACGAAAGGAGCTCCAATAGCTTCGATAAAAAAAGAAAGGTAGCCAATTGTATATCACAATACTGTTTCTAGCACTATATTTTATTTTATAATCACACATAATTCCATACTCTCAGCTCCTTTCTGAATCGCCTCCATTTGTTAGTTGTATGTCCACTCACACCTTGTTTACACTTATTTTCTTTAACCTATTAAAATGCTCTTGCTTAACAAATACCTTAATAAAAGAAAATTAGACTGAGTAATCATACCTTAAACATTCCTACATGAATATTGGCTACTCTGCCTCTCGTGTTTTCTTTTACTTGCTCCCTCTTTCAGCCCCCTTGATATATGGAACAGGTTACTTCATCCTGCACCATCCTTAAAGTCTTGGATATCCCGAAGGGACATAAGGTTGCGATTTCTAGAAGCTCATACCTTCAATGGACCTATTCTTGACCATCAGTCGCACATTCGGCAAGGTTTAAACGTTAGGTCCTTTTGAAATGTACCCGCCCTTTCGTTTCAACGACCTTGAACGGCCTGACTAGAGGCGGTCATTCCGTATTTCAATTGCCGTAGGTTGGTTGGATTGCATGAGTATCAAGTTTTTTCATATATAAGTCATTTTATGCTACATAAAAAAGCACGAAATAAATACCAAAACCATTAATTTAGCGTTCTCTGTTTTGTAGTGTACACTTTGGCTCTGTTGTTGCTTTGTAATTTGACCTGTGATCCCAACAACTGTAGTAAAGCTCAACGAAATGTCAAGTCACAGGTAAATCCTAAGTATTTGTAGTATTTCCTTGGGTTATTATTGTTGCAAGGAATAACTTTTTAATAATTAGTCATGTCTGTTTTTAGTGCTTCATGCTCAAGTGACATTTCAGTCGACGTAACCGATGCCTTTCGAAGTATCATATGATACTGAATAAGCGTTTCGTGTTGTGGGATGATTTTGATATCGCCTTAAAAGAGTTCCAAGAAGTATGGAATTATAATTTTATCGCTTCTCAGACTACTTATACTCGTTACATCCACACAGAAAGCAGATTGCTGAAGGATGTCAGGTTCAAATACCTGTTTGTATCGTTTAATTGTACGTTTGGTCATAGACGGAAATCGGAAGATTTGAAAGTGAGGCAAAAATCGTAAAATCTTTAACTAGTATCTTATGTTTAAGGTCTAAATTCCGTGTAAGACTTGAGGAGCAAGGATATGTCATCAAATCCTACAACATGCTCCACAATCATCCATGTAGTAGTTCATGGATGGTATTTGATCCATGGACAAGGAGATTATCGTCAGAAGAAAAGGAGAACTTGAAGCCCGTAATACTTCACTGTGAGTCAGCAGATGAAGTTATCGAAAATATTAAGGAGAGAACTGGTAAGCAAGTAACTGCTGCCGATGTCAAAGGTATGAAAGCTGCACTCTCCACTGGTAAGTGTATATAAATATATTTCAGGTTGTTTTACTCGGAAGCAGGTAATGGATATGCTTAGACAGAAAGGTGAAGTGAAGGAACATTTAGAAAATGGATATGCCACTAGAATATGATGTGTCAATATCCCTGCCGTCACATGCTACTTGCCTACGTTAAAAGACGAAATCTTACAGGTAAGCAATATCAATTATGAAATACTAACTGCATAGCTCATCAACTTCTTAGGTATTGTAGCAGATGGAAGTTACATAATACCCAGAACTTCCAAAATAATACATTAACTGCATTACCACGACGGAGTGAAGTGTATATAAGTATTCAACGAAGCCAAAGAATCCATAAGCATCGCATCATTGAGAAATATGGTGAACGTTTCGCAACGGAAGTTGAGAAGAAAGTGGACAATTATTACTTAAGAATTCTTAATACCAACTTGTAAACTTGATTTTCTGCTTTAGCAGCAATGATTATTCAATAAACTTTCATAATTTTAATTTTCATCTTATTCCTACTTTCATGGGAATGAATAGCAATGACGTTCATGTGTAACTGTTTGTAATAATTAAGAAACCCTACATCCACGTACAGTCTTGCGGATTAGGCACCCACATATCATATTCACCTTCGTCGGATTACATTTATAATTAAAATCGTATCAGTAGCTAAGATTTTAATTTCATGTGATTAGTTCCGCTTATGAATTAAAATGAAACCAGGAGAAATGTTGATTAACAGTGGTATGCATTCCTTATAACTAAATATGCATTAGGATTTAACGGTGATGTGGGAAACAGTTGACATACCTTAATATGAATAATTGAAATGACGTGGGTTATCAATAATGACTATATATATGTATATATATATATATATGCAGTTTAAGGTCAAAGGTCATTTGTTTTTACAGTCAACAACACATTAAGAATGGGTGGTGTAATAGTGGACTGGAGTTCACAGACAGATAAGTGGTGTGAAAATCTTATAGCTTGTAAATGATCCGTGGATTTAGGAACTGAAAACTTGGGTGACGTAATAATTGATTACAATTTGCAGAGGTTACATAATTACAGAGGATTAAGTGACAGGGTGCTGGAATAAATCGGTAACTAAATTTTAAAGGTGAAATGAATTATTACATAATCCATCTTATTACTTGTTCATTCCATGGATTATAAGGAGTTCATAATATTCTCTATCTATATTTGTTCTAGCGTCATATCGACTATTAATAAATACGGACAAGGTTTATAAAGTAATACACTGAATGTAGTTGCTATATTTATATTTCACTAATTCATTAGTTGAATAAAAATGTTACTAGGCAATACGGAACACAGTTAACGTGAACTTGTAAACCGGTTTTTAACATGGTCTTCCATAATCACAAATTCTATAAGTTGTAGACCGGCGTAAACATCATCACAAAGCTTTGACGACTTTATTGGATTCATACAATTCTGAAAAACAAACAAATCAGCCGTGAAATAAAGAATTAGACCTAGTTATCAGTGTCACATTCAATAAGTCAATCAAATAGCAGGTTACAGAATGCACCTATAAGTCTCTTATTTGCAGACAGCGCTAATCATTAGAGATTTCTATTTCCTTTAATAAAAATTAATAGGTAATCTTTACAACACACAAATCAGTGTTATTTAAAAATTGCTGAAATCAGTTTCGTCACAACATAGAAGCGTGGTCTGACTTATGAAGAAAATGTAATTAATTAATGTGGCATAAAGGAGATATGAATACAAGGAACTTGTGATTGTGCTTCCATTGCTCATTCACTTTTCGTCACGTTGTCTGTATGAATTACTTCGGACGAGTCAGTCTGTAATGCAGTAGGAATTCATGAATTAACTCATTAATAGTTGTTTTTTTATTCAAGTCTGTGTCGTAACAAGCACTGGGAATTTATTCAGTGTCTAACCCTTGTAGTATTTCGTCTATACATCTGGTATTAGCAAGATAAATTGGTAAGTACCATTTAGATATTACTCAACAATATGCATCATAACTTTGTTCACATTTTCGTCTGTGATTGTGCATTTCGTTTACAGAAAATTATCCGTCAACCCTATAACAGACACATAAATCGGTATTAAGTACGACATGGTTTTGTCACCATGCTCAGAAGAGACACCCATCGTTTTACTTATGAAGATTTTGTGCCTATTTAATGTGGTGTTATACACTGTTCCTGTATATGTTCAGAAAACCCGTAAAAAAGACTATCAACGTCAATTGTTACTCACATAATTTTTTACTGATACGTTACACAATAATATGTCACTTCAGTACAAAACAATGCCACCTATAGTCCAAATAACCTTTTATGGCTAAATACAAACAATTTATATAATATTCATAGTTAGTTTAACCCTTACTTCTTTCTGATTACATTTTATATACGACTACGAACATCTATGTTTGCCGTCACCATAATCAAGGAGGTGAACCTTATATCATGCTTTTTACGGCTTATTTTCATGAAAACTCAATCCGTAATCTATTTTTGACTAGAAAAATGGTGATTCGACTTGTTTGACTTTTTATTCTTAAGAATAACCATATTACGACAACTACATATTTACTTAGGTGGTGAGCACGAAATACGTCAAACTGCTTATAAATTGAAATAAAAACTATCTTCAAATCACAAAGATTACGAGAAGTCACGTATGATGGAAAAAAGGCTGTTAATAGCTGATAAATAACGACACATAAAATCCACGACAATATGTTACATGTGCGCGAAAACCCGTAAACTAACACGCATAGTGTGCCGCACATTCGCAACGCAGCTCTCGTGAAGCGCGCCAACTATAGTACTGATTAAAACAATCTACATTCATGTCTTATAAATTTTCAACCCAGCTATGTAATTTAATACAGTGTATATTGTATCATTTGTATCAATTTGATCTTGCCTGTAAACAGGCATGCCTCATGTAACAAACTGTTATTTGAGAATAAATTATTAGTTGTAGAAGGAATTACATAGTGAATTTAACATACACATAGCTGACCGTCTGAATTTTGATATATGATGCAAAAACAGTGCGGAAAATATGATGGAGATAGACAAAAGAGAACTGTAGTTCATTTTAAAACCTATCACTCTTTTTTTTCAACGTTCGTTAATGCTCATAGCCCAATATAGTAATGCATTCTATAAATAAATCAAATAACATAAACAAAAGAAACCTGAGTTGATAGATCATATGGTTTAAAGCTTGTTTCATAAATGGTTGATGAACAACGTAAAGCTTGAAAATTCCTCGAACTCCCTTTGAAAAGTTTAACATGCACTTAAAAACCAACCCACTTACTTTTTACAGTATAATACAAGTTATTTGTGGATACGTTTTTCAATCTGTACAGCATATGTAACAAGAAAGGAAACTACTACAAATTTTAGGTCGTGAAGTAAAATCTTTTTGTAAATAATCATTTAAAAGCTTCTTCTGAACTGTAAGCGAAAGTCATATTACTTCAACATCACAGCATATGTATTGAGAAATATTATTTATTACCACGTGACCATTG